ATGTTTTAATTTATGTTGATGATATTATTATTATGGATTTTAATACTTCTGTGGTCTAGACAATTATAGCAGTTATGGGGTGATCTTTTGTTGCCAAAGACCTTGGCACTCTTCATTATTTTCTTGGTATTGAAGCTCATCATATCAACGAAGGTCTTTTTCCTCTCAAAGAAAATATACTATTGACTTGTTATGTTGAGCTCACATGGAAGGGTGCAATGACCACAAAGCCTTTGTTGAACCTTGCAAGGATTCCAAGACAGGCTATGTACTACAAAGTTTCATAGCTAGTCATGTTTCCCTTTTTATTTCCTTGTAAATTTATTCTTTGCTTTTTGCTTTCACTTTCTATAATTGTAAAGCTTACCTTTGTAATCATTCTCTCTCTCTTTATATATATATATAGACCTGTTCATGGGCCGGGCCGGGCTTTTACTCTTCATTAATAGAAATATGTTAGGCCCGAGCTCGAGCCCGGCCTGACCAACGGGCCTACAACTTGGGCCCGAGCCCGGCCCTAATAAAAAGCCCGAAGCTCGAGCCCGAGTCCGAAGCCCAACCTAATAAAAAAAATTAGAAATTTTCCCTATTCAATAATCAATATAAATCAGAATTTATTTACATTAAAAAAATATATATAAAGAAGGGAAAGAGGATGTGGAGAAGAAGAATTTGATTGGAAAAAGAAGGGAAAGAGGTGAAAAAAAGAGGGGTATTCAACTAGGGTTTTTAGGTTTATTTATAGGTCGGGCCGGGTCGGGCTCGGGCTGGGCTATTTTGGCAAATCCCGAGCCTGGCTCGAATTTATTGCGGGCTGGGCTTTTTGGCCCGAGATTATGCCCGCGGGCCTATATACCTATTCAAGCCCGTCCGGGGACCGGGCCGGGCTGGGCCAGCCCGTCGGGCCACCCGGCCCATGAACAGGTCTATATATATATATACGCAACCTATCAATTATTGTCTTCTTTAGGGTTTCCCCCAAAAGAGATCATCCCTATACGGACAATCAGGTTAGAATGACTTATTTAGTTAAAAAAAAAAGAAGAAAAATAGAACTGGGGCTTGATCTCAATTTGCTTGCTTGGATTTTTAGGTGGGGCTTGAAATGACTTATTTATTTAAGTTCATTTTGTAGGATTGGATTGGACAATGCCTCAATCATACCCGAACCTGAAGTTAAATAATAGGGTTTATATATTTTAGCCCTAACCTTAAGATAAACTCCAAACTGAACTTTTTGGTTGAATTTTAGATGGATAATATTTACCAGATAGATGTACTATAGAAAATTTCACCTAGAGAAAACTCCTCATCTCTTGCCCCCACCAAGAGAAAATTCCTGGCTCCATCATCTCTTACCTCCTACCAAGAGAAAACTCCTGGCTCTATGAAAAGGTCTTTGCAATGCTGGGTCATTGGTTCAACTGCCTGATCTGGCTGAGTCTGACAACACAGGTTAAAGTTGCTAATCGTTTAGGTTGGCGTTCTTCAAGAGTTGAACCATTCCAAAGTTGATTCTTGATGCTTTAAATATGCAACAAAAATTCAAGATCCGGTTCAAGAGTGGAACCATGCATTATATATATGCAATGTTGGTCCCAGGTTCCCAGATTCCCAGCTACCTGGGGTCTTGAGAGGAGTGGACATAATATGATCCTAATGTGGTCATTCTCACACTTGACAACCCTAATTAAATAATGGCCTTTCACCCTTATAATTTAATTGACTTAACAACCTAGCCTACACCCTAATGCTTCGACATTGATCAACTGGTCTACATCAGTAAGATTCCAACATTTCGATAACTCATATATGCTGGATAAGCACGTAATTTGCTCCATTACTGAATTACAATAACCATCTTACCCAATCCAGTAAAGACACCACTAAAGATGAAAGAAAACAAGTAATTGCACTGGTTGGTACGTAGAAGCTATGTTGTTGTTCTGGTGCTTGCTTTGTCAAGTATCACAAAAGAAAACGCTGGCTTTTGAAACTAATGTTAAAAACATGTAAAAAGAAACTTGTGAATACAATTGATCCAACTTTTGATCGATGGAAGAATGGAATTTAGGCTGGAAAGTGGCTCTGGTATTTTGTAGCTTAAACATTCAAACACTTAAATAGCTATGTTGCAGGTTCTTTTAATGGTAGTTTCTGTTTGTAGTGGTTGGTCACAGTGAGAGCACTTCAGCATTTCCTGACTCCCTTTATAAATGTTTTTTTTTTCTTTTTGTAGGTATTGACACTTTGACTTGCATATATAGAGACCTTATCAGAGCTTTATCACATGTATTATATGAAGAATCATACCCACACTGAGTATAGAGACCTTACTTAACAAATGGATCGATCGAATCGATATAATATCCAAATTTGATTGATGCATATTCAGATTCAGATTAATTGAATCTTGTCAATTGATTATATATCAGATTCGGATTGAATTAGTATATTAAGCATCATTAAGAAAATAATCAGTATTTTTGTATAAATTTACTAATAAACTAAAATGAATTTGTTATCAATATCATGTAAAAAATGATTTAAAATTAATTTTTATAAGACTTGAATCTATAACTCTTTACTAAACATAACATTCAAACTAAGGATCTCTTTGGTTTCCTGGAATAAGAATTGGTTTGGCTGGAATGGATTTTCGATTCCCATTCTTGGGTGATAGGATTTTCGATTCCCATTCTTTGTTTGGCTGGAATGGATTTTCGATTCCCATTCTTGGGTGATAGGGAATGAGATTCCCATTCTAGAGTCTGTCAAAAAGTAAAGAACAAAAACCCTAATATTTGGGCTTCTCACCACAAAGAATAGATCTGTCAAATCCATGTCAATTGTGGAGACTTAAAGCCCATTCTTATTGCCTATTGATAGTCTTCTTCAAGATAACTCATTTGAGGCCCATTAAGGCCTATTTTCAGCTCTTTCTTTTTCTTTTTAAGCCCACTGAGGTATTTCTATTTTGGCCCCTAGAGGCCCTATCTATATAGGCATTTTGTTGGCCCAATGTGGTTTTTATTGGCGGTTAATTTCTTGCCCATTTCGGACTGGCCCGTGGTGGCTTGTTGTCATGTTGACTCAATGATCAAGTGGTTACGTTGAAATGGAGTTTTTGAGATTAGATTAGGATAAGATTGATTAGTTACAGTTGGAGTTTGAATGGGTTGTCTCTTTCTTCTTCTTTAAATTCTCATGTAATTATCAGATTTGGTAATGCAATAATAATGCAATATCTTTTCATGTTCTCTTATGTATTTTAGAGTCTTAAAGGCTGCGTTTGGAAACGACGCAAATATGTAGAGTGTAAAATGGTCCATATAAATTGCAAAGTTAGGTTAGTTTTGCATTGACAAATTTTAGCTGTAATGGATGCAAACACAAATTCCAATAAAGCATATGCCTTTTTTTTATCAAAAGCCCACTGAATGCAAATTAACTTCTTTTCTATTGATGTACTTTTACATCTTATTATCAATGTAAATATGCATTGATCTATCATTTGTCAATGCATAATTGTAATGTTATCAAACTGATACGAAGCAATAAAGAAGACGAGAAAATAATATTTCTTCATTCTATACTTCAACCAGGTTACAACCCTTATTTATAATAGGGCAGGAATACAAGGTCGGCTAGTTTAAGTTAGAATACAAGGAGGATAGGTACACCAACTTTCGATAGGACTGTTTCTCCTAGAATGACATTATCTCTCCTTAATTCTAGGATAGTAATGTCGATATAATACTAACATCCCCCCTCAAACTCAAGATGGTAATGTGTCAGTCATCTGGAGTTTGCCAACTAGAGCACGGAAGCGAAGAGGAGAGTGAGCTTTGGTAAATATATCGGCAAACTGATCTTGGGAAGAGACAGGAACAAGGCGAACAGTACCCTCGAGCACATGATGGCGAATAAAGTGACAATCAGTCTCAATGTGCTTAATGCGCTCATGGAAAACATCATTGTGGTTTGTGGGCAATCTGTATGGCGCTACGATTGTCATAGTAAAGTGAAGTTGCAGATGAATGAGTAAGTCCCATGTCATGGAGTAACCATCATAACCATAACAACTTGGAGGTAGTGTCAGCAAGAGCTCGATATTCAGCTTCAGTACTAGAACGAGAGACAACCATTTGCTTCTTACTACGCCAAGATATAAGAGAATCTCCAAGAAAGAAGCAATAACCAGTAGTGGAGCGTCTATCAGTAGGATCACTGGCCCAATCAGCATCAGAGTATGCGATCAACTGAAGAGAGGAAGAGTTGGAGTAGTGAAGTCCATGAAACCAAGTGCCTTTGACATAACGGAGGATACGAAGCATAGCAGCATAATGAGTAGTGCGAGGGGCAGACATGAATTGACTTACAATATGAACAGCATACGCAATATCAGTACGAGTAACAGTAAGGTATACAAGACTGCCAACTAGTTGCCGATATAAGGTGCAGTGACTAAGAGGAGTACCATCAGTGGCTGAAAAATGGGCATTAGGCTCAATCGGAGTGTGAATAGTCTTAGTATCAGTGAGTCCTGCACGACAAATAAGATCAGTAGCATACTTGGCCTGAGACTGATAATATCCCGATTGGTCGGAGGAGACCTCAACGCCTAGGAAATAATTGAGGTGACCAAGATCTTTCATTTCAAACTGTTTGTTAAGAAAAGTCTTAAGAGCGGAAATGCTCTGCAAATCATCACTAGTAATGATCATGTCATCCACATAAAGGAGGAGAAGTACACAACCCTGAGAGGTCTTACAGATGAACAAGGCATGATCATAGGTGCTAGATTTAAAACCAAACTTACAAACAGTAGAGTTGAATTTGAAGAACCATGCTCGAGGTGCCTGCTTAAGTCCATATAGAGCCTTACGAAGACAACAAACCTGATTAAGTAGATGATCATAACCAGGAGGGGGCTGCATATAAATCTTTTTAGAAAGATCGCAATTGAGGAAAGCATTCTTAACATCCATCTGAAATAGCTACGAGTGCTTAGCTGCAACAATTGCAATAAGACTACGAACAGAGGTGAGACGAGCAACCGAGGCAAAAGTCTCATCATAATCAATGCCATACTCCTGTGTGAACCCTTTAGCTACCAATCTAGCTTTATACCTCTCAATGGAACCATCTGCCCGGGTCTTGATTTTGTAAACCCATTTACAACCAATCACAGATTTATCTGGAGGCAGGTCAACTAAGTCCCAAGTGTGAGTGCTTGTAAGAGCTTGAATTTCGTCTACCATTGCTTTCTGCCATAGAGGGTCAGTACTAGCCTTGCAATAGGTGCAAGGCTCGTATAAAGATACAATGGTAGAATAACAATGAAAATCACGAAGAACGAAAGGTTTAGTGACCCTACCAGAACGACGGAGTGGAGCATCAGAACGGTCAGAGTCGAACTCGTCAGGAGAAATCAAGGGCTCAGAAGAGGCTAGGGCTGGAGGATCCACAACCAAGGTAGATGCAGTCGGAGAGGTTGTAGGTTGTGTAGTACTGTTAGAGCTATCAGAGGAAGAAGTAGTCGGACCTATAGGCAAATCATCAGGAAAAAGCGAAATAGTAGGATCAATAAAGAAATGTGAAGGTGTCGTGGTAACTTGAAATGGGGAGAGACTTGAGAACATTTTGTATTCCCAAAAGGTAACATAAAGAGATATGCGAAGTCGTTGGGAAAGAGGATCCCAACACCGATATCCTTTATGTTCAATACCATACCCGAGAAAATAACATAGACGTGCTTTTGCTTCCAATTTGGTATGTTCATGAGGTTGTAATAGAACAAAACAGGCACAACCAAACACACGAAGAGATTGGTAATCAGGGCAATGGCCATACAAACGTTCATAAGGAGAAATGTTACCAATAACAAGAGAGGGAATGCGGTTGATGGTATAAACCGCAGTGAGGGCTGCTTCCCCCCAAAATCATTCAGGACAAGAGGAAGAGATTAAAAGAGCTCAAACAGTATAAAGAATATGCCTATGTTTTCGTTCTGCACGTCCATTTTGTTGAGAGGTACCGGGACAAGATCTATGAATGATAGTCCCATTTTGTGAAAGAAATTGGATAAGGGTAGAATCTCAATATTCCATGGCATTATCAATGCGAAAAAATTTGATGATAGAGGAAAACCGAGTTTTGATCATGGTGGCAAATTGAATATAAATAGCAGGTAGTTCAGATTTATTACGCATGAGATAAATCCATGTATATCGATTGAAGTCATCGATTGAAAATCACAAAATAACGTGAACCACCCATAGTATTACGAGGTGAAGGTCCCCAAATATCAGAATGAATAAGATCAAAAGGTGCAGAAGAAACATAATCACTTGTATTAAAAGGCAAAGCATGATGTTTTGAAAGAGGACAGAAAACACAATCAAAGTGGGTTGTTTTAACAGGACCCAAACACCCATTATAAATTAAAGATCCTAACCTAGAGGTAGAAATGTGACCAAGGCGAGCATGCCAGACACTAGAAGTGATAGCAACAACAAGGGATGGTAATTGGAGAGATGATAGCTCAAACAGTCTCCCAACCTTACGGCCTGTCCCAATGATCTTCCCTGTCTGTGGATCCTGCACAGTACGACCACGACTTGAGAAATGTATTTCAAGACCAAGTTCGCATAATTGTCCAACAGATATAAGATTTAGAGATAATTGAGGTACCAAAAAGGTGTTAGGAAGTGATAAACGAGGTGTTGAAATAGTTCCTACACTTTTGACAGTTAAGGTGGAACTATCAGCAGTATAAACAATTGGTGCAATAGAAAGATGTGACTTAGAAGTAAAGAATGATGAATTGGATGTCATATGATTGCAACAGGCAGAATCAAAATATCATGATGAGGTAGTACTTGGAGTGACGGACAAGACTGAATTGGAAGTCATACCAGAAGCAGGTTGGAGCTGGTGAAGAAGGGCTTGGAGTTCTCGAAAAGAAAATTTTGGAGAGGTGTTATCAGAAGAATCCTCTGTGGCAGTAGCTGCAATAGAACTCGAAGCCTGAGAACCCACGTACGAGGACTTCTGTCCAGACGCCTTTTTGGCTTGCAATCGGCGGCACTCAGAGATAGTATGACCAGTCTTTTTGTAGTAATTGCAGAAAGTCTGTTTTGAAGATTTAGAGGAAATTGAAGAAGCAACAAACGTACCCGGAGTAACAAGAACGACATCAGTAGATAATAAGGATCGCTCATCTCGAAGTGTTTTTAGTCGGGTTTCTTCAGAGAGCAAATCTTTGATTACAACGTCAAGGGAAGGCAATGGGCTACGATGAAGTAGAGTACCACTAATAGGTTCATACTCATCCCTGAGAGTCATTAGAAGATGTCAAACACGTTGGCGATCGCGAAGTTTAGAATAAGTAGTGGCTGTAGAGGTACTATCCCATTCAGGTTCATACTGTGCTAACTGATCCCAAAGAACTTGTAATTCAGAGACATAACTATGAATGGTTTGTTCGGGTTGCTACTTCATACGGTGAAGACGCCTATAGAGCTGAAACTGATGTACATCATCAGAAATAGAATAACGAGCTTGTAAGAAATCCCATACCTTTTTAGGAGAGTTATATCTGCGAAATTCCAACTTGATGCTTGCAATACAAGTATTGCGAAACCATATCAATATTTGATGATTTTTTTCGTCCCATCTTTCTACACATTCAGCAAACTTATCTTCTGTTTCATCAGCAACTTTAATAGGTTTGGGAATCTCACCAGTCACATATCGCCATAGAAGTCGTCCCCTGAGAAAACTACACATCTCTTGGGACCATAAATCAAAATTTGAGCCATCGAAGATAACAGTGATAGGATGAGAAATATGTTGAGCTGCTTCAGATGAATCCATGAGGAAAGACACAAAACTTTACAGCAACACGAATCAGGGAAAACCTAATACTGACAAGCTTTTGGAGAGAGGAGCTCTGAACAAGTATCTGGAGGAGAAAATCTTTCCTCAGTTGCAAAGAAAAGCTGCAAGGAAAAGCTTTTACGTACACACCAATGTTCAGAGGAGGGAACACTTCCTTAGAATTGCGACCTTGCGATCAGTCTACGAGGCTCTCCCTGTCAACGTCAAAGAGAATTCTAGGCTTCCTCGCTACCTTCGGTCGTTCTCTTCAGCCGACATCCTTTCCAGTGGTTGGATCCTATTGAAGCCAAACACCATCCCAAGCCTCAGCCAGTATGGGTCTTCGGCATTGAGACTGGAATATCGGGAAAAAAACCGTTCCACGAGTTGAGAGCTAGTAAGGCTTGCGGCAGCTGTCAGCTATAGCCTATAGAGTAACAGATCAAAATAGAGATTGACAACCGCAAACCAGATGGATTGGCAAGGACAAAAGCTCTCGGAACAGCTGATGCAGATCTTGCTCGTCTTATTTGCCACGGTGGCTTTTGTCACTGGTTACCTCATGGGTTCATTTCAGATTATGTTGTTCATCTATGCAGCTGGAGTCATCCTAACCACTTTGATTACGGAGCGCTGTCAGTTGAAAAAAGTTAGCAGGCTGGGATTTTTTTGGGAACACGTCCTGAGAAACGAAATTGAGATCCCTGACTTCGTGTATGATCATGACGAGGAGCTGGAGTACCGTCCGATGATGGATTACGGGTTGGAGAGTGATCACCCGAGACTGTACAGCGCACCGGCGATTGATTCTCTGGTTTCTATGGGCTTTGATACCATGATACGAAGCAATAAAGAAGACGAGAAAATAATATTTCTTCATTCTATACTTCAACCAGGTTACAGCCCTTATTTATAATAGGGCAGGAATACAAGGTCGGCTAGTTTAAGTCAGAATACAAGGAGTATAGGTACACCAACTACTGTCTCTCCTAGAATGACATTATCTCTCCTTAATTCTAGGATAGTAATGTCCATAGAATACTAACACAAACACAGGCAAAAGTGAACCAGACTGCAAATTTACCCTGAACCAGGATTTACACTCTACTTGCATCGTTTCCAAATGCAGCCAAAAAGATTAACCAAGCCTGGTCATTTAACACACACATGGGATAAACAGAAGGAGACGGTAAAATTCTTACATCACACTTGGAAAACGAATCAATTTAACATTCTTTTTGGAGAGTTTACAACTTATATTTCAAGAGGAAAAACGTAGAAAAGAAAACTGAAGGAAAAAAAAAAAAAAAAAAAAACTCATATAAACACTTGGTACATAAAAATTAAATGCGTCCTAACTTATGTTAGGATAATTTAATTAGTTAACTGCACTGCACAACCTCCTTATCTCCCCCAAGGAGCCTGTGAGAGGATTGATATCGCCCATCTTTATCATGGCAGATGCAAAATCTGATTTAAAAGTATTAGGGCTCTTGCTATATTCAGTGACAATGCTGTCTGTGGATCCTCCGCTGAAGAGAACTTGATCAGAATGAAGGAGACCCTTTCTCTGGATCAGATTCTTGAAGTAGTTATTGTCAAAAGAGTTGGGTGTGACCAAATCGAGAGGGGCCAAATTGCCATCCCCTGAGGCATCAGTAGGACAACGACGTTTCCTTGTGCTTGCAAAGCCAGCATCAATGTCACTAGAATTATCATATATCCGGCCTCGGAATGTCAGGCAGCTTGCTTGTCCTATGGTGTGAGAACCTGAGAGGGCAACCATATCTCTTGCACTGAGACCCTTCTTAGCAAACTGGCCGATAAGTGTGTCAAGGCTTGCTGTAAAGCTCGGAAGGTCGCTGTTAGCTAGGTCTGGGCTTGCAGTGGTGGAGTCTCTTCTTCCAAGCTTCACTGTCCACGATGGGCCTCCCACCTGATTTTCAGAAATATAAATGACAAGTTATTAGTGTATTCTGAATTAAGCAGCTATAAAGTTATACATTTATATGCAGAGCAAAACATATATTCTTTATGAGAAAAGATATCATCAAATACTCACAGCGACAGATGCGTCCCGTGCAGCAACTGCGACGATGTCTGCACATGAAACAACACCCGGACAAATGTTCTCCACCTGAGCTTTCGCCTTGTCTATGACTTCATAACCTCTGGCTGAGTTTTTATTCGCGGGAGCATTCTTCTCACTTGTGATTGAAGAAGAATCATCAAGTAAAATTGATGCATCGCAACCCTGGAAATTAAAACCCATGATCACAAGGTCAGAGCAAGAATTTATCATGCTTGGGAGAATAAAGAATTGAAAGAACGTAAGGAACAATCACAAGTACCTGAACGAAGCAATCATGGAAATGAAGGCGAATGAGTGAGGCGGCCATTCGCCGCTCAGCTGAGACAGCAGATCGGATGACAGTTCTAATGGTGTTGAGTGCCCCAGGACACGAATTATCGTAGAAGCTAGGCGTCAACTGTGCTTGAGTTGGCGTGGTTGACGATACCAGAAACAGGGTAACAACGATACAAGTTAGGGAGATGCCTGAACATCTTCTTGAACCCATATCTACCAACCCAATCTCTCTGTCTTTCCCACTCTAAATAATCAAGAGATGACACAAACTAAAGTACTGGAGAAATAGTAGGGAAATGCTTCGTCTCAAGCAGCTAATGAATGTGTAGAAACGATATATAAAACAAGAACGCAATGCAATGAGCAAGAACGAATGCAAAGCTCATTTTATAGGCAGAGTATTCACGTAGTAGTTTTTCAGGGTGGCTGATGAACTGGTCAGGAGTCGGCTAACGCGTTATTATCAAAGGTTGTTGAATTTCTTTTGCATGACTCATTCAGCCATTCTCTTAACTTACCCTCATTAATTAGTGATCAACTCAACGCTTCATGTAACTCAACGCAGATGTGAGACGATCTCAATATGTGTCCCTCTGTTCTTTCTCATGTTTTTTTCTTAAAATTTAAGTTAAAGTTCAGAATTAATATATTAGAATTAACAAGTTTGGAAAGTCAAAAAGCCAAAAAACGTGTATTCAACGCTGATAGCTGCGTTCCATTGTATTGGTGGAAATTGGAAAGAGAGGACATTCCTAATAAACATGTTGGGCTGAACCTTTCAGCTTCAACTTCAAAGTAGCTGAAGCTCCCCCAAACGGGGCCCTTAATAAAATGCACCAGATCAATGCCGATGGTAGCATGTTGGGCTAATAAACATGCACCATTCATGGTATGACACGTCAAGGCTTCATGATAGCTAGGTGTACAAATCCTCATCAGAACTGGACGTTACTGGGTCAATCACGTATGCTACGACAGACCGAAGTCTGGATCCACATGTATATATGTTACATTGACATTGTGTATATATCTTGATTAACCAGTATTAATTATGCATAAAACTGTTGACGATTGGAACTCGAATGAGCCCTGCATTCTTCTTCGGATAAAATAAGAGGAATTCTACATAATAGCCTTTATTTAACGGGTCACATGCATTAAACGACAGAAAGACAAAAATAAAAAGTAAAAGCTAAGGTCTTAAGCAAAATCTTGATATAATTTAATTAGCCAATAAGAAGATGATTGGTCAAACTCTGACCTCCTGTGGTTGGGCAAACCTTAGCTGTTCATCAAAAGGCAAAAGTCAAATTAACGTTTGTTTAGAGTCTGTGACGTCTCACAATTCTGCAGGGCACTGGTTTGTGTCGCTTTCTTAAAAAAAGGGTGCACTCGTTGGAGGGTAAAGTGTGAGTGTTTGACAGAGACGTTAAAGTGAAAAATGAATGGATAAGATTTATACTTTGAATCAATGTAAAGCTAACTATATATTTATGGTTAATAAGTTAGGCCGGAGCAGTGTGATGCATGGGTTTTGTTAAACAAAATTGAAATAAATGAAATAGGAGTCTTATGATTAATTGGGTCAAGCTAGATCAAATCGAGGTTAGTTCTTGATTCTGTCTCCACATCGATCTGTTCTTGATTCTGAGTACATGTCGTTCTGAGAGGTATGAGCCTTCACTTCACCAGTGAGGTTAGTTCTAAACCATTCTCGTAAATGAGGCTCTTGCTCCATAGTGTAGGATACCCCAAGAAATTTCTCAAAATCCATCAGTTTCAACACTTGATCTGCAATAGCCACCTATCAAGCGCAACCTTCTTCCTCTTGCAAGTCAATATAATGGGCTCGCTCACCAAATCCTCATCTATACTAGGCTCACCTTGCTCCAGAGGGAGCAACTAACTTGGAGAATCCTTGATTCTCTTAAATCTCTACCAAATAGAGTTCAAACTTCACAAAGGGACCTAATGGGCTTCAACGCGGAATAGAACAAGCCCAACCCAAGGCCGACTGTCCTACAACATTGTATCACTTGATAGGAAAGATTTTAGGCTCTTGATTAAGTAGTGTTGTATGGTTTCTAAATAATGCATG